AACAATCACGAAAGGGCCTAAAAACAACAAAAAATGGTGGGAAACCATCAAAACGTAGGTTGGAACCACCAGTAAATGGCTTGAAAGTGACAAAAAATGGTGGAAACCATCAAGAAATAAGTTGGAAACATCACAAAAATTGGCCTGAAAGTGACAAAAAATGGTGGGAAACCATCAAAACATAGGTTGGAACCATCAGTAAATGGCTTAAAAGTGATAAAAAATGGTGGGAAACCATCAAAAAGTAGGTTGAAATTACCAAAAAAGCGACCTAAAAGTGACAAAAAAAGGTGGAAAACTTTCAAAAAACGGGTTGAAGCCATCACAAAACTGGCCTGAAAGCGACAAAAAGTGATGGGGAGACCAATGGTAAGGTCTTGGAATTGTCAAAAAATGGCTTAAAAGTGACAAAAAGTGTTGGGAAACCCAATGGGGAAGGCTTGAAATCATCAATAAACGGCTTGAAAGCGACAAAAAAGGGGGAGAAACCATCAAAAAATAGATCGAAACCATGAAAAAAATGGCCTAAAAGTGACAAAAAATGGTGGGAAACCATCAAAACATAGGTTGAAACCGTGAAAAAATGGCCTAAAAGTGACAAAAAATGATGGGGAAACCCAGTGGGAATGGCTTGAAACCCTCAAAAAATGGTGGGAAACCAACGGGAAGGTCTCGAATCCATGAAGAGATGGTGGAAAACCAACGGAAAGGTCTTGAAACCCTCAAAAAAAATGGTTTGAAACCTTTAAAAAGTGGTGGGAACCCAACAGAAAGGTCTTGAAACCATCCAAAAGTGGTGGAAAACCAATGGGAATGGCTTGAAACCCTCCAAAAAATGGTGGAAAACCAACAGAAAGGTCTTTAAAGCATCAAAAAAATGGAGGAAACCCAATGGAAAGGTCTTGAAACCATCCAAAAGTGGGGGAAAACCCACCAGAAACTGCTGGAAACTCAAGGGGAAGGTCTTGGAAGCACCAAAAGGACGGCGGAAACCCAAGGGAAAGGTGTGGGAACCGCGGAAAACTTGACAAGAAACGGCGTCAAACCCAGCCCAGAGCGGTGGAATCCCCATGGGAAGGTCCTGGGAGCATCCTGGGATGGTGGAATCCCAACAGGAAGATCCTGGGATGGTGGAATCCCAACAGGAAGATCCTGGGATGGTGGAATCCCAACAGGAAGATCCTGGGATGGTGGAATCCCAACAGGAAGGTCCTGGAGGTGTCCCAGGATGATGGAATCCCAACAGGAAGGTCCTGGGAGCATCCTGGGATGGTGGAATCCCAACAGGAAGATCCTGGGAGCATCCCAGGATGGTGGAATCCCAACAGGAAGGTCCTGGGATGGTGGAATCCCCACGGGAAGGTCCTGGGATGGTGGAATCCCCACGGGAAGGTCCCGGGATGATGGAATCCCAACAGGAAGGTCCTGGAGGTGTCCCAGGATGATGGAATCCCAACAGGAATGTCCTGGGAGCATCCCAGAATGGTGGAATCCCCACGGGAAGGTCCTGGGATGGTGGAATCCCAACAGGAAGGTCCTGGAGGTGTCCCAGAATGGTGGAATCCCCACGGGAAGGTCCTGGGATGGTGGAATCCCCATGGGAAGGTCCTGGCGGTGTCCCAGGATGGTGGAATCCCAACAGGAAGGTCCTGGCGGTGTCCTGGGATGGTGGAATCCCCACGGGAAGGTCCTGGGATGGTGGAATCCCCACGGGAAGGTCCTGGCGGTGTCCCGGGCCGTGCTGGGGGCGTTGGGAGGGTGTGGATGGTTTGGGGGGCGTGGGGGGTTTTGGGGGGCGTGGCGGGGGCGGGGGCGGCGCAGCCACCGCCCCTTTTACTAGAGAATAAAAACGGGCAGTTTTCCAATTTTGGGGTTTTTTTTGGGGGGGG